GAAACGATTCCGGGCCCGGTAAAAAAGCTGCTGGAAACGTCCGAACACCCGGCAGGATGTTTCGGGGATGATTAGTAGACTGCGGATGTTCGTGCGTCTGTGCCTTATTTAATTGTACGAGATGAGATAAAGCATGGATGAAATTTTCTTCGTCGAGAGAATGTATTTAACCCTTTGCACTCGAGGGGCGCCTTACAGTCACCTGATTCGATGCAGCAAACTTATAAAATTTTCAATTGAATATTAAACCTTGTGCAATGTAACACATAAAACATCGAAGTGAAATAGTTCTGTCTCTTAATTTATAGAAGATAATTGTGTTAGTTGCGAGAAATATCGTTAATATTCAGTCAGAAAGTAATGAATACTTTTAATAAAAATATTGTCGAGTGCAAAGGGTTAACACTGCCCAGACTTAATGAGCTCCTGATTTCTTCCTTTCGCAATTATTAGAAAGACAACAGGCATTCTGAGAAATTATTCAAGAAATCGATTCAGCAGTGGGCAAACTGAATTATAAATTAATCGAAGTCTCGATAGATGCGCTCTGGAGTTTCTATAGAGGAATTTCGAAAAGTCAGTTCAACTGCTAGATTTAGTGTTAATTAAAGTTCTTGATTTAAATTTTTCATTCGAGAGATATAGAGACGTTTATTATCTTGTTTTCTATTATTAAGACAACAGATGTTCCTCTGAGAAGTTATAAAAGAAATGATTAGCAATACGCGAACTGAATTCTAAATTAATTGAACTCCCAACGAATACACCTTGGAGATTCTATATAGAAATCTCAAAAATTCAATTTACCTCCATAGTTTACATTAGAATATGTACAACATACTCAAGAAAATTCGAATATCCCTGTACTCAGCGCAATGGTCCGTTACTCATTATGCAAACAAGCCGCAGCCTCCCTCATCCCTAAAAAGAAAATCAATCACCATCAAATTAAAACGATTTTTCCGAATGACGACCGCCCGATCGATCCACCTATCTGTTGTAATAAGGACCATCAGACAGCCGATTAAGATGGAGCCGAGGAGTTGACTATCGTCAGAGTGACCGGTAATTACGCTTTGTACAAGGATCGGGGCCTAGATCGCCGCGTGCGATCCATTCGCCGGCAACGAAAGCGCATAGATTCCCTTGGTAACAGCAGCCTCGACTTATTTTCGCCGGACGAACGTCGAAGACAACAAAAGTACCTCGACGGAGCAGATGCATGGCATGTGCTACGAACCGACACCAGATGCCCCATTGGCGTAGAGATCCCCGAGGCAGCCCGCCACCGATAAAGCTGCCCATGGGATCCCTTTCAAGCTGGTCGCGTGCCGGGCAGAGCCTTCCCGCGGCCGCAGGACCCGGCCCCGCTTCCATTTTTCTCGATTCCGTCCCATGGATCCCGATAGATCGGCCCTGGAAGCAGTGTAGATCAACCTGGACGCAGCTGAACCGGCCAAGTAACCTGGAAAATGAGCCCTCGCGCTGCTACGCTCTGACGCAACCTCTTGAATCGAAGACCGGTGTCGAGGAACACCTTGAACAACGTTTTCGTGGAGGTATATCTTTGTAGGAAGGTGAATTTTATTTTAAGGAATTTCGATTTGTCGGATTTCTAGCGATTTTTAAGCTTTTGAATTGTGAACTGTATGATGTCTACTCAGAGGATGGTTCTAGATGGATTTGGGAACGTCTGGGAAAACGAGGGTTAATGTTGTATCTAGGAATTTGGATTTCTATGGGCATAAAGTTTATTGGTGTGGATCTTGAGGAGCATGCGTTTGAGTGGCATTAGCAGAATCATGGATTCAGTTGCGATTTTATTTGCACGATGGCAACTCCCGTCTAAATTCGCGGAATAACTGGTGAAACAGGCTTCATTCCTTATTCAGCGCGCGCGATTCCTTTCATCTAAATAAAAGCTTCGTCCAATTCTTCATGGTATACTGGCAGAGGCCCAGATCGCCTGGAAAATGGGCCAACGAGCACGGTTAGAGAACTCCGAGCACGAGATCCATCAGTCGGTTTGAGAACTCGCGTTCGTATGAATAATTTTTATTATCGGAGTATCCGTGACGGGACGAGTGCAGAAGGATGTCAAGGGGATTAACGAGAAAGACAGAGGGTTTAATTAACTTATCGCTCGTTTATTTACTGGTCAATGTTATCTACAATGATTTATTGTAAAAGTAACAATAGTCGTGTATAAGTTAAAACGATATATCATACATATGTACAAGGGATGAGTCGATCCAGACGATCCCACTGTGCGACGTTCGTCGATCGTTTAGAAACGATCCGCGAGGCTAGCCCGAGAATCCTGATTGAAAGATCGCGAACGCCCTGCCGCGGGATCGATTGTCTTTTCCGAAAGAGGATGATTCGATTTGATTACTCGGCGAGTGGCTCGCGATCGAGGATCGTTCGTCGATCTCGGAGCCACTCGAGGCGATCTATTCTCCTCGCTACGATTCCCCTACCGATCCAATGTCGACGCCGAACACTACTCGTATACCAGGAACGATTTCTTATCTCGATAGATTTAGCGATCTAGGATTATCCACGTACGTCTAATTAACCGATGAACCCCTCATCTCTCTAATTCTCCATACGCGCCGTTTCAAGGCTAAAATATTCTTTCTTTCTTGTTTTCTCGTTCTACCGACGACACTGGATCCTGATTTTTCGTATACAATTGGCCAGTCGATCGTTGGTTAAACCTTGTGTCGCGTTGCTTGATTAATCAACCTATCAGAAATTCAATTTCAATTAACCCTTTGCGAATGAAGATTCTTTGAAATATAGACCTTCAGCAGATAAAGCTGAATTATATGTCAAATGCTTAATTAATACAAAAAAAGGAAACTACGCGATGATCTCTTGCTGTCCGAGTAACTAAATCATTTGTCTGCAACTTAATCTTCGAAATACGAGCACTTCTCGCCGAAATATCGACAGTCATCCGCAAAGGGTTAAATATTCTATAGAGTTGAGTTGAACATCTTTTAAAAGAATGTTTCGTGAGATTAGATTGAATTACATAGCGAAGTAATTAAAGTATCAGTAAATCTATTAATTTAGTAAGCGAGTAATTATGAATGATCGGTTTCGATCGAGTTAATCTAAGGGTGAGAACCGTAATCCCGGCATCAATACAACTCGACACGAGGTTTAAGCGATTCAGCTCATAATTTTCCTCGGACTCCCAACTCTCGCGCACTTATGATAAAATAATCTACGAATTTTCTTCTATGGGTGTCCTTAATTCTGATTCCAGCATCTCTCCGCGGCTCCCTGCGCTTCAACCCTCCGACTAAACGGCGGATACGTTTCCAGAAGCAATCCGAGGCTCCGCGCGGTTCAGCGAGGGCGTCCAAAATAATTCCGAAAGTCGAAATCGCGTTTCCGCCAAAGTGAAAATCCAATCGGAGGATTGAAACGCCGGGTAAATCGATGCACGATAAAAATCCGCGAGTTCATCCCCTTTTTCAGGGAACGAGAAGCCATTTATCTCTCCGAAGTATCTCGATACTTTAAAGGGAACAACGTAGACACAGAAGAAAATACAGCTTACCTCGAATTCGGTTAAAAAGAATATATTGAAGACATTAATTCCGAGCTCCGTATCCTCCGAATGATTTCCTTCCCGATAAATCTCACTTCTCCCTTCGATGAATTCCCGGAGATAAATCTTTTCGTATCCACGCCGCCCGTGGAATTTCATTTAACCGCCCCTCCCCGATCCGTTCATATCGATCCAGCGTATGAACCATTCGCATTGACATCGTTTATTGACATTCGTTCCCCGCGGAGTGAATCTAACGTCCAATGGACCGAAAGCGCGCGCGAGAATCGATTCGCAAATCCCTTAAGCCTAAGCGCGATAAGTGTAAAAAATAAATAATGATAATAAAGAACGATAATGCTAGGTGTAGATG